CAGAGCAGCCACGGGGCCCCAGTACAGTGCAGTGGTGAGAGTGCTGGACTGGGACGCTGGGGATCTGAGTTCTAGTCTCCACTTGGCCATGAAGTTCCGCAGGCGCCTTTGGGCCAGTCCCTCTCTCTCAGCCTAAGCCATCTCACAGGGTTGTTGTGGTGAGGATAAAATAGGTAGAAGGGGGGGAGCATTGATTAAGCCGGCTTGGGTTCCTTGCAGGAGAAAAGGCAGGATGAAAATAAAGTAAATCAAGGCAGACAGGCAGATGGGTAGATAGGTAGATGCCATAATGCCATCCTCCGACAGAGAAGGGCTGAGCTCCACCATCACCCTATTTGCCCATTTAGGCCAGTAATGTCTCCCCAGGGGTGGAGGGACCACTGACCCTGCAGGCTGGGACTGACATGCCCCATCTTTGACATCTCTGGGTCTGGCACTTCCTTCCAGAAATGTTGGCCTATTTATTTTTTCAATTTATATCCTGCCTTTTTCCTACAAAGGGCTCAAGGCAGCTTACATCATCTCCTCCTCCATCTTATCCCCACAACAACAACCCTGTGAGGTAGGCTGGGCTGAGAGTCTGTGACTGATTTCCCCAACCCACAGAGTCCATGTTGGTTGAGGTTGTTGTTGTCTTCTGCCGAGCTTGCCATCCAAGTTCCATCCTTAGGCAGGAGATAGATCTTGAGATCTTCCACATGAAAACCATGTCCTTGAACCATGTCCTCTCTGGATGAATCGGTCCATTGAGGCAGCACCGACGACTCACCAGCAGCAGCTCTGCAAGATCTCCAGCAGAGGAAGGTGGAAGGGCATGATTCCATGCCAGCGCTTTTGCATGCAAACTTCATAGCACGACGATGCAACCAGCATAGGGAACATCCAGGCTCCGGCAAGGTCATGCCTTCTCACTTCTCACTGGCTGCGAGGATCTCCTCCCTGTTCTGTCCCCCAGAGGGAGAGATTCTGGAATGGAAGAAGCCTGCATGCAATGGTGAGGGGGTGTTGCGGATGGAAAACACCCCCTCACCGTTGCATGCAAGCTGGTAGGCGTGCTTCACCGCGCCACTTGCTTTGGTCTCTGGTCTCACCAGCGCTTCGTTTGCCCACACCCACTTCAGGAATGCCAACCCATGCAGAAGCAACGAGGCCTTGACAATGGTTCCCTCCCTATGCCAGGTGCCACAGACAAGAATATTTGCATTTTCCAAAGCCATCCTTAAACAATTCCATCAAGATTACCTAAAGCTTTACATCAGCAGTGGATCCTGCGTGGAAACTTTGCAGCATCAACCAGTTCCTCGTGCCTTGTTTGGATGGTGCCAGAGGTCAGACTAGATGGCCTGGGAGGTCCCTCTGACTCGCTCTGTTTCTATGTTTCCATTCTAAAATTGCTGGGTTGGTTGCTGGGCATATGTGGTGGCAGGGGAACAAAGAGGCCTGCAGTGCTTTCCGGGGCTCAGTGGACCTCTCCAACCACCAGAAGTGTCCACCCCTGCCACCCACTGAGTAGGATCCCAGGGAATATGGTCTTGGCTAAATGCGCTCCACAGAAGGTGTAGCTCAGTGGTGGAACACCTGCTTCGTATGCAGAAAGACCTACATTCTGTCCAGGTAGCAAGTAGAGGAAAAAGATCCCCCAAAATGCTCAAAAGCTCTTGATAATCCATGTAGGCCAAGCCATGCGAGATGGACAAGCAGCAAGACCTCAGCTTCTGACCGAGTGAAATGCAACATTTCTGCACAAGCTGCCAGCCACCGCTAGATGGCTTCCCAGTATGGCAGATTGCAAGAAACTTGGTCAGCTTTAGAACACTTCTCAGCCTTTGCTGAAATAAAACATAGAGGGGTTTCCTCCAGACTGCTGGTTTTTTTTTTTTTTTTGTGGGCGTGGGAAGCGTTGAACCCCCGGTAGCCCCAATCTGGAATGGAAGGTCACCATTTATGGAGAGTTTGAGACTACTTTCCTGTTCTCGATGCTGGTGGTGATAACTTACAGATAGCTTCTCGGAACACGCTAGTCCCCAGTTCACCTGTGCATGCATGTCTGAGACCCACACATCCAAAGTGTGGGTCAACCAGGCCAAGGACCTTGAAGTGGTCACATTGACAAAGGAAGCCCTCTTTCTTTCCTGGGTAGAACTGGCTACCACAATCTCCACCCTGGGGTCCAACGAGAGAGTGCAAATCGGTGGAAATCCGTTACTGTGTCAGACCTTGTGGTGTTGTGCAGTCCAGGGCGGAAAAGGGTTTGGAAAGACAGGAATCAAAGGCAAGTTTGGTGAACAAAAGATCGCTTTAGGAAAGAGAAGGAATTTGTTGGGAGACCTTGTTAGAGAACTGCCTAAAGCAACCGGGAGGCCCTGTTGCAACATCTTTCCCCCTTCACCCAGATACAACTCAGGACTTGCCAAAGAAGTATTTGTACTATAACCCTGTTACCTAAAAGCCCTGACCTGTGGAACAGATTAGCAAACTGGTCCCTCCATTGGAAAGTAGAAGTCTGTTGTTAAAGCCGATTTCCCCGCTCATGCAGCTGAGTGGATAAACCCCGTGATAAAGCACCCTTTGCCCCCACCCCACACAAAAGTGCGTCCCGACTTGGGAAGCTCAGGACAGCCCCAAAATGTCTTTCTTCGCACGGGAGGTAAGACTTGGGTGGCAGCTGCTGCGGGCGAACCTTCATCACGGGGCCAAGAGAGGGCTGTGCTTGCTTCTGCCTTTGTTCCAAGGCTGGGTAGAAGCAAAGCAGAAAGGGGGGCTGTGATGTGCGGGGTTCCCCCTGCCCTCTCTGAGGAGGTTCAGATGAACATGTAGCGCAGCCACGTGCGAGGAACCTGTGCGCTCCGGCGGCATGACTCACAGCCGAAATGCTTCCGCAGCCCCTGCGCATCCAGAAGCAGCAGGAAAGCAGCTGCTGGCGGTCTTGTCCCAAGCAGCTCTGCTGTGTGAGAAGCCAGCTCTGCACGGAGGTGCCAGTGAGGGTGGAAAGCCCTTTCCCACAGGAGGTCCACTCGGAGACAGCGCTTTTCCGCCACAGGCAATGGCCAGGGTTGCTGCAGCACGCGACGGGTGGGACAGAGGGCTTCTCACCAGTCCCTCCACATGCATTCCCTGGATGCTCCGAGGGAAGTTCATGGGAGCCCCCTGAGATCTGCAGTGGAAGCCAGGCCTGATAGCTGCCGGCCACAGAAGGCCACTTCTGTGGGTCTAAGGCCACTGGCCAGCTCTTCAGCGTGTGGAAAACAACCTGCAGAATCACATCACGACCAGAATCACATCACAACCTGCACAATCACATCACGAGGTCAGCCAGCTGCAGATGCATCGTGGTTCAAGCCAAGCTCTGCCTGGGGAAACCCAGCCCAAATTCCTTCTCACAGGGCAGTTTTGATCAGCTCAGGGATATGTGAACCACCAGGGGAGGGAAGCTACACCCCCACCCCAGTCTCGAGTGGAAGTCAGCGCAGCAAAGCAACCCCACCTTGGCCCTGGCCTCCTCCCCTCAGGACCAGCATCTTCACCCATCTCGCCTTCGGGGTGACCCCGAGGGTTCAAAATCGAACTGCTCCTTCCCACGGCAGGGTAACTCTGGGGCAAGGGGCAAAGAGAGGCAGTGCGATCTGCTTTCAGTCTTCTGGAAGCAGGCCACCCAGCTGCATGGACTTTGGCCTCATCCAGCACAGGGACATGCGCAGTTCAGAAAAGGTCCTGGCAAATTTACCCCTTTTGCAGCTTCACTCGGCCATGCGGGAAGCTTTTGGAAGCCCTGGCAATCATCTCTGTGGCCACCCTAGAGGAAAGTCTCTTATCTGGGGTCCAACAGATCCTTGCGCATCGACACTCTCTGGCTGGCTAGCCAGGCAAAGCTTCCCCCGCCTTCGGGAAGGACCGGGCAGGTTGAGAGGCTTCCTGCGGCCCCCCGGCCCCCTCCAGAGGTCCGCGGCGGTGCAGGGAGGGAGGGCTGGCTCGCCCGGGGGGCATCCTACCAGTCCCCGTGGGAGCGCAGGGCGCTCAGCAGCACTGCGCTCCCGCCCCGCCCCGCGCCTCGCCGGACCCCGAGCTCGCCGGCCCTCGGGCGTGCGCGCCTCCCCGCAAGTTGTCAGCCGCGCAGCGAGGTCTGAGCGGGAGAGCGCAGGGCTGGCGGCAGCTCCCCTCCGCTACAAAGCGCTTGGGTTTCAGGCCCAGCGTCGCCTGCAGCAAGTCCTGGCTTGCGCGCTGCAAGCGAGCCAGCGGGGCGGGCGGCGGCGGGCGGGCGGCTCTCCCCGTCTTTGAATTGGGTGTTTTGTGTATGCGGAGCGGTTTGGGGGGGGGGGAGGGGAGCTCGCCCAGCCAGCCACTGACAGAAACAGACGGGGGATCTCTCTGCTCTCCTCCTCCTCTCCCCCCACAACACTTTGCCCGTCAATCAGGCTTAATGGAGGTATAAAACCTGCCCGGAGCGCGAGCGAGCCCGGGAAGAGCCGGCCAGGCTGCAGCGAGAGGCGGCGCGGGCGAGGCGGCCCGCTGCGCCGTTCTGCCGGGAAGGGGAGCCCGCCGAGGCGGAGGGCCTCCTGGCTGCTCCTGCTCCTGCGCCGCGCGGCGCGCCCGCTCCTTCGCGAAGCCTCCCCTGCCGCGGCCGATTCCCTGCGCTCCGCGGAGGAGGCATGAGCGCCGCCGGCGCCCGGGACAGGCGGGCCTCCGGGAACTTCTCGCGGGACTCCGCGCCTGGCTTATGAGGGAAGCAGGCGCACGGAGCGCGGGCGGAGCAGCCCTGGGCGAGCGGCGTCCGCGGGGCGCTCCGGTTCGGGAGCTCCGCGCGAGCCCGCAAACTTTCCGCCGCCGCGGCGCCCTCCCGCAGCCGCCCGCTCGGCCGGCCGCGCCGCTCAGCAGCGCCGGGCTCGGCGGGGCGCGCGCCCTCGCGCAGTCCCGGGGCGCGCGCCTGCGGGGGAGTCGCGCCCCCTTTCGCCACGGCGCGCCGCGCAGCCGGGAGGCCTCGATCCGCGGCGGCGGCGCCGCCTCCGCGGGGCGAGAGGATGGCGTGGCGGTGGCTGGGCGCGTGGCTGCTGCTCGCCGCGCGGATGGCCTGCTCGGTGGCCAAGGCGCTCGCGCGCGCCCTGCTGCCTGCCCGGCCGCGGGACCTGGCCGGGGACAGCGTGCTGGTCACCGGCGGAGGACGAGGCATCGGGCGCTGCCTGGCCCTGGAGTTCGCTAAGCGGCGAGCGTGGAAGGTGAGCGCGGCGCGGGCGCGAAGGTGGGCGCGGGCGGGCAGGCGGCGGGGTCGCACCTGGCCGGACCTCCCGGCACACGTGCCCTGCCGTGCCGTGCGGGGGGCTTCTGCGGATCAGCCCCCTGCCTGTTACCTCCTCGGGGCTGAGGACCGACGCACGAACCGGGAGCTGCCCATGCGAGTCCCCCAGCGCCCCGTCGTGATGAGGCTTGCGCTCGGCGGGTAGTCCTTAAGCAGATTTCTCCTGCCTCGGGCTTCCCATCTGGAATGCACGGGGGGGGTGTAGTGTTGGACTGCCTCACAGGGATGTTGTACAGCTGCACAAAGCACGTGAAATGTTTTGGGTCTGGTGGCCAAGAGGTTGAGCAGGGGTGTCCCCTTTCCGCTCCATCGGTTTGGGTTGCTTTCCAGACCTGTGCATGGTACTAAAAAGAGCCAGGACTCTGGTCCATGAGACAATAATAGTGTACTCACTTGCATATGCTAATTGCATTGCTCTAAAGTCTGTGTGTGTTATTTGTAAAAATAAATGTATGGACAGAAGGGCGTCGGACTTCTGAACCAAAGAGCCAGCAGGAACACACCTGGGCCAGCAGGTGCCCAGGGTGGTGGGCAGAGGGACCCCCGCATCAGGGGCTCCAAATGGAGGATTCCGCATGGGCCACCCCCTAATACTGCCCTGGCTTCTTTTCCCTTCTCTTCCTAGCCGGACTCTTGCCTGCTCCTCTGTTTGCAGAGAGCTGGGAGAAATCGCCACCCACTATTTGCAAATGATAAGGGAAGCGCCACCCACGCCCAGGGCAGGGCGGCTGCAGTGCTTGATTACACTGAGTGGCACCTGATGTGTTCGCAGATTGCCCTCCATTCCGCTCTGATAGTGGGTGAGCTGCTTTTTAAAGAGGACCGCTAGGTGGACACCCTCCCTGGGCATCTAGAGACCTCATTCCACTGCTCCGCCAGCCAGATAGCTCCCGTCGACCCTGGGGAGTCACGCTTTCTGAGGAATGCTCAGAAGGTGGCTTGCACGTGCCAAGAGGCCCTTTGTGCCAAAACGGATCCCTTGGATACTGCTGGATTCCAAACAGGTCCCCCGCTGGGGCGCTCCGCCTTTATTTCAGGAAGGGTCCAGGGTGCAAAAGCTAAGAAGAGCATAAGACGCGTCCAGTGGTTTCCCAGAGACTATTTCCAAACTAGCACGCACGCTTGTGCAAGTTTAGACAGCGAGAGAGGTTGCCGCACCCATCACACACGCTGGGAATGTCGGCCATTTTCCCGTCGAAACCTGCATCGGGTCCTGCTCTTCGGGACACATACATGCAAGCGGTGTGGGAGGCAACCGTTTCAACACCGTTGTTTCTCAGTAGCTTTGGGCGTGGAGATTCCATTGGCTATGGAAACCACGAGTTGTCTCTTCCCCTGTTAAAGTCATGTCGGCGCCCCATAACTGCATCTGGCATTAAATGATGCATTGCACAGAAAAATGCAGAAGGGGCTTGCGGAGTCAGTTTCTGCTTCCCATAGTCGGCCTGGCTTGTTCATACCTGTCCAAGCAAGACATTCATGAAAGATCTGCTTTACCCGAAGGGTGCTTCCAGGCAAAGGGGTCTCTGAGCTGATAGTCAGAAGGTGTTGGGCCACTGCAAGAGAAAAGACAGGGAAAACAGAGGGGAGCTACAAGCTAATGACAGCCATGACTGGAACCCTGCATAGTTGTTCACTTGCAAAGTGGTGCCCGACCCATCGCGACCCCATGGACAACACTCCTCCAGGCCTTCCTGTCCTCCACCATCTCCCGGAGTCCAGCTAAGCTCACGCCGACTGCCCCAGTGACCCCATCCAGCCACCTCATCCTCTGCTCTCCCCTTCTCTTTTCACCTTCAATTGTTCCCAGCATCAGGCTCTTCTCCAGGGAGTCCTTCCTTCTCATTAGGTGGCCAAAGTATTTGAGCTTCATCTTCAGTCCCTGGCCTTCTAAAGAGCAGCCAGGGTTGATCTCCTCTAGGACTGACCGGTTTGATCGCCTTGCAGTCCAAGGGATTCGCAGGAGTCTCCTCCAGCACCACAATTCCAAGGCCTCAATCCTTTGGCGGTCAGCCTTCCTTATGGTCCAGCTTTCACAGCCATACATTGCAACTGGGAAAACCATCGCCTTGACTATACACACTTTTGTCGGCAGGGTGATGTCTCTGCTTTTCTTCCCCATGTCCCTGCATAGAAAACTCCACAAATGTGGCAGAGCATTGACACATGAAAATCTTTCTCTGGAAGCTCTCCAAGTTGGCGCAGCCATCCATTGAACCCAGTGCACCCGATTCTGGCTGGCAGCAGCTCCCAAAAGTTGGTGCCAGAGCTTGTCTTTCCCAGCCAAGGTACTTGAAGGGGCGAAGGCAGGCACGGTGCCGGTGACGCTCGGCGTGTCGGGCCAGTGCGCTCCAAGACGAGCCGCGTTGGGGAAGCGTGCTGCAGACACTGAATGGGAGGCTGTGAGGATGGCACGGAGCATCAGCTCGCAGGGGAGCCGGACAGAGTCCGTAGATTTGGATTGGTGGCAAAGAGCCCAGAGAGGAGGAGTCTGCTTTGGCTGTGTGTGTGTGTGTGTGTGTGTGTGTGCGCACGCGCGCGCGCGCGGCTGGAAAATCTCCCACACACAAATAGCAAGTGCAGTCTACTTCTCTCACAAAAAGTGTGTGTCTTGCCTTGACTTGCACAAGCTGAAGGCTGTGGCCTTGGGCAGAGCTCTGCATTTAGCCTACTGAGGGCTTGGAGGTCTTTACATCCGTTGTTTTCAGTGTTTGTGCAGTTTTCAGAGAGATTTATGATGTGGAATTAAATGCAGGGTTTGCAAAAGAGAGAAACGTGGGTGTAAAAACATAAGACAGCCTCAAACCCCTCCTTATGGGCAGGTTTATTAGTGAGCAAGGCACATATTTACCTGGAGCTTTTATGAGGCCCAGGCTCCTACATACAACATATATATTCCACCATTTAGGGGGAATGGTGCCACTATTTTAACTTCACTACAACCCCGGGCGAGGTAGATTAGGCTAAAAACTGTAGCGACTGGTTCTGTGTCACCCAGTGAATTTGATGACTGAATGAGGACTTGAACCCAGGTCCACCCGGCCCCTAATCTGACATCAACCACTTCAACCATGCTTCTAGAGATGGATAGAGTAGTCTATTTTAGTTTCAGAACTCCGTTCAATCTTATTCTTTGTCCATCTGCAATTATTTTTTAAAAGTGCATACAAGTTTACATTATCTATGAACTCACCTTTTCCCAAAACAGTTTTTTGTGTGCATTTTTGCTAAAATCCTCATTGTTAACACATGTTCATCAGCAATACGTGTGTCTGGTCTTTTGAGCCAAATACCACACTGGAACCGGTAGAGAAGCGCAAAACATCATTGTTAATATCAGTTCCTAAAAAGGGCGAATGAGGCCAGTTTCCTGAAAGCAAGGACCAAACAAAATCCATCAACATCCTACTTCCTGTTGGGAAGTTGCTGCGGATTCTGACTGATGGATTTTACACCTCCCACTCCGCTCAAGGATGCCACCTGGAGAACAAGCTAGCAGTCCAAGCTGCCTTGTGGAAAGTCAGCGTCTAATCGTGCAGTCCATGTACGTTTAGGCAGGAAAAAGGGCCTGCATCTGTCTTTGGAGCTTAAGGGTTTGGAGAAGCATGCAGTGCTCCAGACGTGGGGCTCCCACTCATTCTGTGCTGAGAGGAAAGAGCTGAAGACTCAAGCTTAGCTTCCTTGCTCCTCTGGTTCCGCGATTTTGCTAGGTGGCCATTTTTGGCTGCCAGCAATTCTGTCTCAGAGGGGGACGAAGGAAATGATGGAGCAGATTCAGCATAGCTCTACTCTCCCCGTTACCTTTACCCCCTCTCCGAAGTTGCTTTTCTGACCCAGAGAACAACCAGCAAAGTGCCTTTTGCTCTGGCAGAAGAGGGGCAGGTGTCCACTCCGACCATGAATAATGTCTCCAACCATGGAGCTGTGAACCTGAATTCCCTACCATGGATAAGGGCCATAGGATCACAGTATCTTAAGAACTGTAGGATCATTAGGATTCCAGAGATGAGGTCAGAAAGGCGCTCCAAACTCACACCTGGGGATCCACCTTTGGATATTCCCACGTCCTTTCAATAGGTGCAGAAAGAACTGCACTGGCTGCTTTTATGAGGTCGTAGGAGTGATCTGGAGGAGGGCTTTGGGGCTGCCCTGGGGGCAGGGAGGGGGTGCCTTGATGACTCCCTCCCTTTCCAAAACACTGCAGTTAAACAGCTAAACCATGCCGAGGAGGAGAGCAAAAGTACTAGTTGACTGTGCTTCTCCCAGTCAGTACAGGACAGCTGCAATTCTTCAAATTCTGGGAGGAACTGGATTGCGCCCTTCACGGCTTCAGGATCCTCTAATGATGGGAGCGAGAGCTCTGGGCTGGCACATCCTAGTTCAAATCCCGGCTCAGCTGTGGGATTCATTCAAACTAATTTTAAGTTTTAGTTATGTAAGCCACCTTTGCAAATGCACTTCAGTTGCACTTTGCAGATGACCTTGCAAAACATGATGATAAAAACAAGGTCAACAGCCCTCTTGACCTTAAAAATGACAAAGCAGCATGCAAGAACATTCGGAAACGGAAAGCAAGCAAGACGTGTAAGGTAATCGGCCAGTTCAGCGTAATATCTAGAAATAGAGCAACAAGGAAAAGGACTCCCCCACCCCCGATGGAGCCTTCTAATTAAAAACAGCCTTGAACACAAACCAGCACAATGACAAGGCAGAACAGGCTGCCTGCCCCGAGTTTCCACGTGGGCGATGCCACTTGAAATGCTTGTCTTACTAAGAAAAAAGACCCAAGCGCTCTGTACCTGGAAAGGTCTGCTGGGGAGGAAGCTGCGATGATAAAACAGACCACATCGTTTCATGCTGGAGTTGTGCAATTCTACTTTTGAATGCTACATATGTTCAAAAGCATCCTGAAAGTTGAGG